GCTTGCTAAGACACCTGCAATAAACTCTGTCAAAAAAATCTTAACTCCTGCCCTAAATATCTACTTCTGCAAACATGCCTGCAGAAGGAATTTCCTTTCAATGGTCCTAAGGCACAAAAGCACCTGTGCTGGTAACCACACAGGCTGTAACTGAAACTCACCAGTGCTGTAACAGTTAAAGAATAATGCCAGCAATCATATAGAGACCATGAAGGAACTAAACTCAGGGCTCAAGTTGTTTGGAGGAGACTCCACTGGAGTCCACTGGCATGAATAAACTTTCCCTATTTCTCCATGAAAGTCTCTGGATGCTAACTCTGTATGTGGCAAGTCCTGCGCTTCACTTCCCTAAAGCAGTGTTATTAAAGATGCAACAATATGTCAACCATTATCTTTTTGCTTTCTTCTCTCTCATACCTGTGTATGCAAGCCTCTAAATTAAATCTCTTGCACACAGTTGTGAGGCCTCTAATTTCCTACCAGATCTTGACTCATACCAGGCATAGCACCATCTGTGAAGGACTTTTATTTTATTCAGATTTATTAAAGTATAATTTAAATGCAATAAAATTCTCTAATTAAGTGTAATTAAATGAAAGTTGACAGTTAATTGTGACCATAATCATACATAGCTCATTTTCATTACTCCAACATGTTCCCTTGTGTTTTCCACTAGACAATCTTCTTTCCCATTAGTGGCTCCAGGTAACCACTGATCTGGTTTCTATTGCTTTAACTTTGTTTTCCAGAATTTCAAATGAAAGGAATTGCTCATGTCCTTTTTGTGTCTTGCTTCTTTCACCTAGCAGAATATACAAGGAGATCACTGGCTTCCACCAATCCAAAGGCTAAGAATGTCATCAGATAATCTCGGAGACCTATAGCAGAGTAACTACAAAAGAATTATTCAGCCAGGTTTGGTGGCACATGCCTTTAGTCCCAGCACTTGGGAGGCAGAGGCAGGTGGATCTCTGTGAGTTCAAGGCCAGCCTGGTCTACGTAGCTGGGGGCTATACAAGTGCCAGGTCAGCTGGGGGCTACAAGGAAACCTTGTCTCAAAAAGGCCAAAAAATTTACTCAGTCTCAAAAAGAAACATTATTTAAAATTATTTTATCTTTCTAAAATAGTCATAAATAATATTTCTAAAGTTGATTGTTTTCTTAAATATTTTATTTATTGTTTTTATATTATGTGTATGAGTGTATTGCCTGCATGTAGGTAAGTGCACCCATGTTGGGCAATGCCCAAGGAAGTCAGAAGAGGGTGTCAGATCTCCTGTAACTGGAGTTACTGATGGTTGTTAGCCACCATGTGGGTGCTGGGAATTGAACCCAGGTCCTATACAAGAGCAGCCAGTGCTCTTAACCACTGAACCATCTTTCCAGCCCCGTTGATTAGGTTTTTGACCTTACTGTTGAAATTATCACTATTATTCTAGCATGAGAGAACAAAAACTCTGAGATTTGCCTTCTTGGGAAGGCTTTCTTCCTCCAAAAGGGTTAGCAGTCTTTTCTGCATTAACACTGCTTTTATTCTTTCAGAAGTAAATAAGCAGGTAACTAACAGCACCTTGAACCAGATGGCCTGGTCAAATCTTGGGGACAGTCAGGCCACTCTTTGTGTACTATGTACTATTGATCCTCTGTACTCCTTGCCCTCTTTCTGTTCATCACAATCAGCTACTGAAAATTTATACTTTCAGTTTAACTGAATTGGGCAATTGACCTACTAAATCCCTCTATTCTTTATACTTTGGTTTTCACACTCCTGCCAAATTTGATCAAATTCTGAAATTTGATCATCTCATAGCACCCTATTTAAAAAAAATATTTTTGAGACAGAGTCTCACTATATAGCCTGGATAGCCTAGAACTCACTATGTAGACCAGGCTAGCCTTGAACTCAAAGATTCACCTCTCAAGAGCTGGGATTAAAGGCAGGTGCCACCACATGCCCAACCCATTTTTATATTTTGAGACAGGTATCACTATTTATTTAGCCTTGACTGTTCTGAAACTTGCTATGTAGACCAGGTTGGCCTCAAATTCAGAGATCCACCTGTCTTTGCCGCCCAAGAGCTAGGGTTAAAGGTGTGCACCACCACACACAGCCTTAATTAAAATCTTTAAACAGTTCTTTGTTATTTTCAGGAAAAGGATTCAAATGTCTTAGCACAGCTTATGATACCCTTTATGATCTGGTCTCTATTTAAACTCTGTCTTCCTTCCTCCTGTCTTAACCTCCTTGCTGCCTCCTGTGTCATTCTCAGACCTCCTCAGGGCCCACACCCAATGCTCTGACTCTGGAACACTGGCAGAGCTCTCATCACAATTTGCTTTAAGGCCTCTGCATTTCAGCAAGTTGTCTCTGCTACCTAGAACAGTGTTCTCTCTCTTTCATTGAACGGTTGATTATGACACAAAAAGCTAGTTATGATTATGTCCTCTGGGAAGCTTTACATGATTTCCTCTATATCCAGAATATATTAGCTGCCCACACAACCCCATGTTCCATAGCAGAGTTATTACCACACTAATTCCTACACTATGTGACATTTACTATCTCGGATGAACATTGTCACATAATCTGT